GAGACACTCGAGGAGAAGCCTCTGGTGCTTGCTTGTAAGCTTATTCACTGCATGTACTTCCACGTCACATTTGGCGCACAGCGCCGCCTCATCGGCACAACAAATCATCGTCGCCTGAGCCTTTTCACACAGAGCACTGCTTTCTCACACAGTGCTCGGCCCGTCCCTGGAGGACTTTCACCACCATGAATGCGCTGGTGGAGTTGAGGCAGGATGTCGGCTCGTCGAGGAAGAGGATGGTCGGGTTGTGGATGACGTCGGTTCTGATCGAAATGCGACGTTGCTCCCTGCCGTCGACGTCAGGGTCTCTTAATCTGCGGCGTGAACAGTCCGGCGAGTCAAAAATCCGTTGAGCTAATCCTTCAGCAATTGCAGTTTTTCCTACACCAAGCTCATCGATAATAACAGGATTATTCTTCGTTCTCCTAGACAATATCTGGATACACCGCCGTATTTCATCATCTCGGTCAATAACAGGATCAAGTTTGCCCCGCCTAGCGAGTTCAGTCAAGTCACTCCCGTACTTATCCTAGGCCTCATACTTTCCTTCAGGATTTTGATCAGTGACTCTTTGATTTCCATGAACATCTTTAACAGCCTCCTTCAAATCCTTATCACTAAGCTGGAGATTTCTGAACAATTGCTGCCCAAACCGCGCATCGGCCTGAAACGCCAATACAAGGTGCTCCACCGACACAAAATCATGTTTCATATCTTTCTTCTGCCGTCGGGCATTGTCCAACAAGCCAACTAGATGCGAACCCATTATAGGGCCACTGGTGCCACTCGTCACCTTGGGTTGCTTATCAATGAACTTGTCAGTTGCTTGAAGAACCGTAGTGTTGTCAAGCCCCGCCTTGGTGAAAATTCTCCGGGCCAAACCATCTTTCTGCTCCAAAAGCAATTTCATCAAGTGCTCAGTTTCCACCACTTGCTGCTTGCTATTTCGGGCAGCTTTACAATACCCTCCCACGCCATCTCAGTGAACTCATTCTGACTGACCTGGGAGAAGCTCGTGGCGGAGTAGAAATTGGGAGTCGTAGAGTGGAAGCTACGAGTGAATGCGCTTGCCAAATACTTGGCCGAAGTGACATTTCCCCTATCCGAAACGATGCCGGGGCAAGAAAAGGGAGCGGTGCATCTGCCGAAGGTGGGGGCGGAGGCGGCGACGGCGATTGCGCGACACTGATGAGAGATAAAGTTTTTGGTGGAGGCGTTCAGGGACGCCAAAGCCAGGGCCAACTTGGTGAGCATTGTGGTGGCTCTCCTGCTTGCCATTTGACCATGAAATGAAGGCAAACAAGTACAACAGAGACTTGAGGATTGATTAGGGTTTTGCTGTAATATATTCGAATTCAGTGAGAGAGAGGAGATGAGAGGAGAGGACATGGTGGCTTTGTGTTTGTGAGGGTTTTCTGGAAAAGCCCAAATAGGTTCTGAGTTTCTGTAGATTCACGGTGGAGTGTGGTGAGGTCTCACGGTGGTGAGATGAAAAAATGAAAGAGAACCGACATAGTTTTTCGTGACGTTTCCCACAGACGGTGCCAAATGTTGATGCACAAAACCGGGAGGTCTTGGAACAATGTAAATTCGACTGTGAATCTGCAAGAAAGTAAAGAACACAAGATGTATCGTGGTTCATCCCAATGTTTGGGCTACGTCCACACTGATATTGTATTTCTATGTTTGTGAGAGGATTGTGAGGGAGAGAGAGCCTCCTCTTTGGGGAGGTGAGGCTTGAGGTTTGTGAGGGTGATGAGGCCCTTTTATAGAATAAGGGCTCCTCACTTACATATTTGCCCCTTCATTGATTACATAATTACATTTGAGTCCCCCGAGTATTTATACGATGTCTAAATACGGAGACCCTAAGTATGGTATAAACATATATATATATTTATATATTTATATTCCATTTCTAGGAAAGTTATACATGTTTTACGGCGAGGGGTTAGAGCATTTGATAAATGAAATGGTTTTGAAAAGCTTTGTTTTTGCCCATTCACACTTTCTGTTTTGCACCCCTCTATGTTCTAGATAAGCTTGTTCGTTGTTGGCTCACAAGGATTGATTGGAGGTTATGACAGATTATTACAAATTTAGGGCATCTTTAGGTGTTGTTTAATTAGTACTTGTTTCCTGAACTGAATTTAGGTTACTTATACTCTGATTATGTATTCACACATATTCTAACGCTTGTCTTAACTAGTACTCTTAGGCCTCATTTGGCACACCGTATAAGGCACCAGATAGTACTAATAATACGGAGTACCGTGTTTGGTGTCTGTTTGTATTAAATAGCCACCGGATAAAAGAATCTGCTCCACCAATTTAAAACAGCCATACCCGCTTAGTTATCCTCCCCTATCGGTTGGTATAATTAGTCGGGCGTTCACTTTTCTTCGACCCTCTCTTCTCCAACGCATTGTGAACTTTTTATCAACCATAACCAAGGTACTGCCGCTCTTTCTCCCTCCCTCCATCCCAACGACCAGCAGAGGCTCTGGTGCCAGAAGAGCCCAAGAAGGAAGAACAGCCAGCCGAAACCCAAGACTCCATAAGAGATTTCATATCGATTTCTTCATTTTCTCCAATTTTTTGCTTCTGGGTTTTCAATTATGGTGAAATCTGCACAAACAAGGTTCAAAACAACCTCTTCTGAGAATTATTCTATCAATTTCTTTTCCTTTTATTCATTTTCTAATACACAAAGGTCTGTGGGTTGGCCTTCTCTCTCCTCAAATCTTCACGTTCATCTCTCTCTTCATCCAAAGCTTTCATCTTCATGTCAATGCCACATCCCACCATTAAAAAATTCAAAACTTAAAATCTTTTCTAGTTTTTCAATTTCAACTCTCTAAAATCTCGTATTCGAATCCACGGTTCACAGACTTCAATCTGGTCCCCGACCATTGAGGCTTCGATGTCCGGTCGTGGCTAGAGGCGTTTGCCGTCGAGTACTCGCTGCTGAAGGAGCTTCGGCTGAAGAGGATGACGGTGACTGATGAAAGTCTAGAGATGTTGGGTGTTTGTTTTGGTGGGTTCAAAGCTCTTTCGTTTGTCAGCTATGATGGGTTCAGCACTGATGGAAATTGTTTTTCACAAAAATAATAACAGTACGATTTATCCAGTAGAATACCAAACACAGTATTAAATAGTTAGTCTTTAGTCAGATATTACACCAAATGCCCGACTAATTTAGTCAGTACTATTCGGTGATTATTTATCCTATCCGACTAAAATAGTTAGTACAGTCTGAGCTGCCAAACGAGGCCTTATGAGTTGGTTTTCATTTATTTGTATTCTCTATTATCATTATTGCTTTTTCACTGTGCACATGGCTACGTCACCCTCACGTGACAGCCAACATGCTCTGATTCGGGTCAGGGTGTGTCAATTTTCACCCTATCTTAACCATTGGAAATGTTGCTTCGCAGGCTACAAAGCTAAACCAATATAAATTTCCATGTTTTTGTTAGTTGTTTGATTTGCTTGCTTACTATCATTTATTTCACTCAGAAACTTGCAGACTTTTTAGTCAAAATGGTAATTGACATTGGTCATTAAGATTAACATAACACCTTATTTTGGCCCCTAACAATGAAAATTCATAGAAGTAATTCCTAAGTTTGTCCATCGTAAACCATTTTGGTCATTCAGTGGAAAATCTATCAATATAATTGTTAGGTGGAGGGGTTGGTTTGAAAAAAAAAAAAAAAAAACACCCTTAGAAAGATGATCACATGACAACTGAACAAAACTAATCATAGATGTTTCATAAAATGATCAAAATAATTTATGGTGGATAAACTCAAAGACCACTTCTATCAATTAGGTCAATATCAAAAGCTTTTTGACATAAAAGCTGAACCTTGCACACATGGCATAGCCGCATTAAGGCCTAACCTCCCATCGGACCCCTCCCCTCAACATGTTCTCATGTATTTCATTTTTTAAGGGCCTATTTGATTAAAAAAAAAATCTTGTTGATAAAATAACTATTTTCTTTTTAATTTTTGGAGTTTATTTTTTATAAATTAAATGGTTTATGATGAGTGAGATACTTGAAACTTGACGATGTATTCAAGATATATGAATGATTAAATGATTTTCAGTTCAAATAATTTTTTGAACAAATAATCTTCAAATAAAAATTAAAAAATAGAACGATTTTGATTATGAAATTTATACAATAAATATGTAATTCGTGAGATATGTGCGTTCTCTATGAATGTGAAAGTATTATTCTTATTCTTATATATTGGTTTTATTTCTGATTTTTCATTTAAAAAACAAAACAAAATAAAATTCTCCCATGTCTTTCTCCTGCTAGATGGAGTAGAATTCTTTTCCTTTTTTTTTTCCTTCCTCTTCCCTCCTATCCTATTTGAACAGTTACGGTTAAATCACGTTAATATTTTATATAAGTTTTTATAAAAAGAGAAAGAAAAAATAAAAAATATAAGAGAATGAAATGAAAAATGATAGAAAGAAGAAGGAAGGGAATCTTAATCTTACTCTCTTTCTTATTTCATCTCTGCAAGACTGCAACAATGGCATGTCAAATCCATATAAGAAAACAACCAACAAAAATTGCAGTGGTTGTCGGTACGTAAAGTAGATAAATTGCACGTGTATAAATGTACTGTTTGTGTTTGAATGGACCATCCGATGGCTTTGATGGACCACCCGATGGCCCTCCTCCTAGTCCAATAGAATTTGAGAATTTGAGAATTTGAGAATTTGAGAATTTGAGACTTTGCTCACATTCGATTAACCTCAGCCTCAACTACGCTATCTTATACGGTTTATTAGGGAGATTTAGTTCCCATTCTTTTATCTATTTACCATATAAATCAAACTTTTATATTGGGTTTGGTTTGAACATACTTTCTTTTTATTTCTTTTTTCTACATAGAATTATTTACATGAAATAGTTGCTACATTATGAGAATCATTTAATCGTGCATAATCAGAATCACTTAGCAGTACGTCACGAGAAATAAAAAGAGAAAATGAGATATGCATTTCTCAAATCAAAATTAAATACTAAAATACAAGACAGAAATAAATACAAATGCATTCTTATCTTAACTCTCACTCAACCCTCATTCCTCGTCTCTCTCTTTCTTTTTATCCTTTGGTTCCCTTTTACATATCTCACCTTGCTCTTCCACAAGGTAATGCCAAGATCCCTTTTATCTTTCTCTTATAGTTTCTTTTATCATTTTGGTCTTTATATAAATATATATATATATATATATATATATTTATATGTATATATTACTAAGATTACTAACCTACTCCTACCCCATTTCAATACTTCTGCTATTTGCAGCTGCATTGTTCTTGTTAGCAACCTCTCTCTCTCTCTCTCTCTCTCTCTCTCTCTCTCTCTATTTTCATGTCTTAATTCTCAAATTTCATGCCAAATTTCTTCTATAATCCCTTTGATTTTCATTGTTAATTAGCTCATAATTTTGTTCCCATGATAGATTAGAATCCATGATCGTGCAGGAGAGTCAAAGATGGAGGATTGCAACAGAGGCCAAGACTATTTCTCTGCCCAAGACCATGAGGTAACCTGCTCCTTATTCTCTCTCTTATTCGTAATTCCAACTTATTATTTGCTAAATTATTGAGTTTAATTAGACGAATTAAAGGGAAAAAATACAAAAATTCAAATTACCGTAGACTATTTCCATGGTGTCGGTTCTAGTGTGTAAAAACTAAGAACTTTGATGGTCGTATCTGCAATCGGTACTGCATGGGTCACTTGATACGCTCAACATCCACTTTATTTCAAATAAAGTTGGTGGCAGTGTTTTTATTTATTAATTACTAATTTACTAGCGTATAAGTTTCTTCTATCCTACGTTATGTATAGATTTTCTCTACCCAACATATAATTTGAACTAATATATTGAGGTTGGTGGGTGAGAATAGGTCTATTCTTTCCAAATTATGTTTAGAGGATGATCTTTAAGCCAACAAAACTTTTCGCTTTATGAAGATCAGGAGAAAAACGATTTTCTTAACTTTAATATTTTATTATTTTATTTACTTTAATATTTTATTCTTGTATACTAAATGATTTTCTCCTTTGGTATTTTAATTAATCAAATGGAATTTTAATAGATTGGAAATTTTGACCATAAGGGTCGTTTGCTTTATATACATGACATCTTGACTATATATCTTTTTACACCAAAAAAACATTTTTCTTACTATAGGGAAAAATAATTATGCTACCATAAATAGTTTCTTTAATTGCTTCCATTTTCTTGTCAATAGACGACAAATAAGCAATGCCAAAATATGAAACTCACTTGTTTGTGTCAGTTTAAAAACAAAATACAACAAAATAGTGAGATTTGAATTTAAAACATCTTTTTAATGTCAAAACGGTGAATAATACTTTCTTTTTATAAGAAAAAACTTTGATAATTCTCTAATTTTATCTGTAAAATTACATCCTCTTTGTGCCAAAAGGCATACACTGTAATCTGTTGAGGAAATTTTATATGTGAGATTTAAAAAAATGTAATTTTCTTAGCTTATTGTAGAGGTATCAAATGGATCGGTTTGGCATGGCTCGACCCATTTAAAGTCACTCTGGGCCGTGCTTGGGGTCAAAACTCACTTAATAAATGGATTGTGCTTGGGTCAACCTATTTAATAAAATATTAAGCCCAGTTCAGCCCACAGTCCTAGCCCATTAAGACATGGGCCGTGCAGAGCTTGGTCACTAATTGGACCGACTTCAGCAAAACAAACTTTAGTTATTTAAAATTTAAAAAAAAATATTTAACTTGTTATTTAGCTAAATATCACTAATACTGTGTGTTACTAACCTTAAAATGTACGTTTGTAATTAAAAATAATAAAAATGAGGTCTTTAATAATAGGCCAGGGTCGCGGTTTGTGCTTGGGTTATGACGGGCCCAACAAATTATGGGCCTGTCGACCCATTGAAATTAAATCTTAAGCCCGGTTCCACCACTTCTTACGAATCATGACGTGCCGTATCTTAATTAAATAGACTTATTTAAGTGGATTGTGTCTGTGCCGTTCATGTACCGGCCCGCTAGGTTGAGACCTCTAATTGTTGGGCCCAAAGATGCAATTTATATTTGGGTGGGTGGGACTCATTACATTTAGGATACTAGTAAGTAACGGCTACTATTTTGACACGGCAGGAATATATACCTTTCCCATTCGAAATGTCGGGAGCAGCTGGAAGTGCTTGCAACTTAAAACCATGAACATTAACGTAGACTTTCCTTGTTAAAATACATACACGTGCCGTATTGATTATTTCACCGCAATTTTTAGAGAAAAATACAAATTACACAATGTTCAAAACTTACAACTTGGATGTTTCCATGTTTAAATATGTAAATTATATATTTTTATTGTTGTATCAATGGCGTATTGTATTCTAATTTTTATAAATGTTTCGTATCGTTGTGTCGTATTGTATCTTATGACATCACGGTATTCATATTCGGGCTTCATAACCATTGTATATATTCATCTTTGTTCTCAATTACAATATTCCGGTTTATGAAATGCATTGAATTTTGAATGGCTAAATTGAGACTGTCAAAAAGTTAGTCATGCAAATTCAGACGTCCAAGACTTAGTGCATTTTATACATTTGTGTATCGTAGAATTTTCGTTTTTAACGACTCACCAAATTGGTCAAAAACCTTTAAATACTGTTTAGGAATACCTACCAAATGTCTCTCCAATCAGTATTGACAATTCTGTTTGTTTTTTTTTTTTTTGGTTTTAATTACAGGCAACATCTGCCAAATATGGAGGACTTGCGCCAAAGAAGAAGCCTTTGATTTCAAAGGTAAATCGATTACAGATTACCACTTCAAAAAATTCAGTCAGTTCTGTTTTTTCTGTTATATTTCATTGAACCCATCGAACAAAACCCTAATTTGTGTGTGTGCGTGCATGCATGCATGCAGGATCATGAACGTGCCTTCTTTGATTCAGCAGATTGGGCACTATGCAAGGTATTATAAATCCCTGCAAAAAAAAATAAAAAAATGAAACTTAACCTCTTCTCTCTTACTCTCTATCTTTTTACTTTTTGCTCATTCAATTCTATGAATAAAATAAAATAAAAATTCAATTCATGGATGTGTAACAGCAAGGTGCAGGGGTGAATCCCAAATCAACAGCAGCAGTGGAGACCTTACGACCAAAACTCCAGGTATAGAATTATAACCACACATAAGTGCATTACTTTCGGGAACGCGACAATTTTTATTGTCAATTTCGTTGAAGTTTAGAAAATTCTAACGAGTCCATCACCTCGAAAACCATATATATTGATATTTCAGTGGGGCAAAACAACAGATAATTCCTTAAAAAATGTCAATGTCTGATTCAGAAGTTTATACAATTTTCTTGTGTTTTTCATTACAATAATGTAATTAACTAGGTTTGTATTGATAATAAAACCAAATTTACGTGACAATATTGCAGAGAACACCACACCAGCAGCTACCCCCAAGACGACCTGCTTGTACATCTGGTCATGAATGATATACAGCCTCCCGTAAGTTCAAATGCGATTAGTCATCTTCGTAGTATGTTATACTAATCTTCATTTAATGTTTTGTTATTCTTTGGTTTATGATGTTGCAGGGAGCATGGATTCGTCGAGGGCTCAAAGTAGTTTGTTGTTTGAGAGGATTAATGTTGATTACCAAGCTATATATATAATTAAGCATTGAAATTGGCTGAATGTAATAATTGTCACGTAGCTTTTATAATAAGAGCACGTAGTTCTTCTCTCTAAAGTTTGGCATTCCCTATTAATTTCGTGGTTAGTTTTGTGATTCCAACTTGAGTTGATTCCCTAACCAAAACTGGTATTTTATGACAACGACTTCTTTTAGATTACAGTTGCCTCAACCGCTAGGGCATACAAAAGGTTTGATCCATGCATGTCCTAAAAAAATTGGCGAAGAAGTTACAAATATCCTTACACCATTACCTCTCTGCCAATCAACTGTCAAGTTGGTCCACTTTTTGCTTACACGGATGCTAGATTGATGAGAATAGATTAATAGATGTATGCCATATGAACAACAAATAATAACTTTCCTCATAAAATTTTAAATTTTTAGATATATTCAGAGAAAGAGATGAAAATTGGCTTTCGACATCAATTGAGCGTCCATGTAAGCAAAAACTAGTTGAAATGAGCTCCTAACTAGAATAAACTTTCATAGTTTGGCAGATAGAGGACCGTGGTGTAACAATTTGTAATTTGAATGCCCTCATATTTGTATAGCATATGGACCAAATTGTTCTGTAAATCAACTAGGTGCAAAATATAATTTACCCTTCTAAAGTGCAATATTCTTTGGTTACAAGAAAGTCATATTTTCACCCTTAAAGAAAAGAGAAAACTGATGTAAAATGGAAACATCAATTTTCCACATTTGAAAGAGAAAAACTGTGCCCCAGCCACTTACAACAGTACATTCTGTGAATAGTAACTCATTGCCAATTCGCCACAAGTCTCACTACCAATATATATATATTGCTTCTCTTACGGTATTGCTTAGGCTGTGAACTAAACCTTGAACTCTTAATTTTCTCTCTAACGGAACACCATCTTTACTTGTAGTGCAAGTTAGGCAATTGCATAACGCTAGCTCATGCAAATTTTTAGGTTTGATTTTTTACACTCCAAGAAAAAGTCCTCAGCAAGTGGAAGTTGGTGACTTGCACTCCAACTGCTCTCTCCCTTCTAGTCGTCGGCAATTCTCCAATATTTTTACCAATTTTAGAGCAAACCAATCAATCGGTTTTCATTTCTCCCGATTAAAATCCACCAACATCTACTTTTACCGCATTTTCCCATCCACAAAAGTTACTTAAGTTCTTATGTTTGCTCAAGGTGACAATCAATGCATGTATATGAGAGAATTTTGTAAAATCACAGCCTGAAATAAGATTTATGTTTCATCTAGTCAAGAAAGTAGAATGGTAGGCAGGGTTGTTATATGTTTCTTCCATTATATTGCTAGGGTCGTTAACACTGCATCGGTATAAATTTCGATTTAGCTCCAATAATAGCTATATTTTTCTTCCAAGGTAGTTGCTCTAGTTTGCAAGCTTCTGTCATGGCATTAACGATGAACCAACTCTCAGTTTTAGCTGCAGCTTTCATCTGCATCTCTCTTTTCTGCTGCAGAACAGGTATATATGTTACAGAGAAACATATATTCCTACTTATTGTTCCTTTCCAATAAAATATTAAATGGAACTTTTTTTGTGCAAAAATGTTACAGGGATGGCTGATGATTATACACCTGAAAGAGGTTATGAACCAGAAAAAGGCACTGAACTCGAGGATCCAACTCAAATTGTAGCCAAAGCCTTGCTGTGTTTCAATGATAAATATGTAAGTCACACCTCATTAATATGTCAGATACGCACTGTCTATGTGTAATGTGTCAGATACTGTTGTTGCTCACAAAATATACAAACACGTTATAGATCCATTTTTAACAATATTGATGCACACCGTCACTTAATTATTAGAACAAATGTCATGCACAAAAAGTTTTCCGAGTGTTTACGTGTGACACTAGGAAAAAAAGTTCATAGAAATGTTAGAAATTGTAATTTGTTGACGTAAACACAATTGTTATGGAAATATATGTAATGGCTTCGAGAAACGTTCAGGTTTACAGCAGCTGTGAAGAGTCTTACAGATTGAATGAGGGTGGAAATCTGAAGGTACCTGCAGAAAAAACTGATGAATACTGCAATGGTCCTTGCTTGACGGAGACACACCTTGTGCTCGATTGTCTTGAAAAAATCATGACCAACTTCCTGTTTTACAACAAGGCCACGATTCAAGACGTTCGAGACACGATTCATGCCGGATGTGGCCACGGCGAAGAAAGAGGTAACCTTTGATTTGTACCTAGTCATGGTGGGGTGAAGAGATTATATTTTGTTTTGGTTAAGTAAATGTCAGTTGTTACTTGTATAATCTGTCATTAAATTGCAATTTTTGCAGGTAAATTCGATGTGGCTGAGCACTTCAGAGCTGAAGGAAGCAATGCATACAAGGCTGCAAACCAGATTCTAATTGGGATAGTGTTGATGATTGTGGGCACTGGATTACTGTTCTAACTTCCAATATGTATGATGCCATAAGTAATTAATTCCCATAACCCTATAGCATAATAATGTTACCATATATATAGCATAATAATGTTACCATATATATTCAGGACATATATTATATAAAATTTCAAGAGACTTATAGCTCAAGTAGTTAAGAGTATTTTTTTTTTTCTGTATTAAAAATTATATGTTATTCTCATCCCTAGTTCTTTCATCGTTTGGCCAAAAGACAAAAGAAGGGGCGAATGAATATAAGATTAAACTTTGATTTGAAGGCTCCACTTTACGACAGATGACTATGTACAAAGACGATATGGTGCACACCCTAGAGAAAAACCAGTCTTATATTTTGTAGTTATGTTACAAAATAGACGAATGAATAACAAAATCACTTTTTGTGATGTTATTAAAATTATTGTGTCCGAGAACCGAATTATTTAAATTACGTGTGACCCTTGAAGGGATTGTGCATACACGACACCACGCGTTACCTAAATACTCATTATTTTGTGAGTCGGTCGAACAATCCATGGGATATGACTAACACAAGAATTTCACCCCAACTATCCATATTCATATGACTGGAGAGATTTTTCAGTGTAACCGGAATACAGGATGATACATCACGTGTTACTATAAAAATTGTGAGATATGTGTATTAAAAAGTTAATAACTTAAAAAATAAAATATTTTGTTGTGACATATGTTCTTATCAACATTGTGATTGTGTAAATCCTAAGTAGAGATAAAATAGGAATCCTTTGGGATCTAGAAGAGGTATCCTTTGGGATCTAGAAGATCTTTCTTAATATACTTTGTATTATTTGGAGAGCAAGTTTCTCTCTTCCTTATTACTATAAATAAAGGCACAAAGACTGGAATTAAAAAAACACAATTCCTCAAGCCTATCCTCCAATCTCTTTCTCTCTATACCGCACCCCTCAGTTAAATATAGGCTACAACACGTTATCAGCACGCTCTTCACGCTATGTTGTAAAGAATTTATTCGTCTTCAATCAGGGGAGTATTACGTTTCAATTATTTTTAATTGATTAAATTTCAACTTTATTGAATTCATATACTTTTATTGATTCAATTTATTTATTTTCTTGAACGTGATACAAGCTTTTGGAGATGGAAAGCCAAAATTGAAGAAATAATTTTTTGCAGCAAACCAGTTCATCCATATCATTACTCAATCAAGTTCTTCCAAAACAACGATTTTTATCTTGATAGTTTTGCAACCCTGATAGCATGAACATTCACCATAATGCATGACCCAACATTACGTTTTTCGAATTTTCGATTCTACATAAATTGTGTATGCATTATATTCATAATTATTGAATTATGTGAATTTGATATTTGTCATGAATTGCATCAAATATATGTACATGCATTAAATTATTGAATTGAATATGAATATAATTGAATTTCATAATCTGAAAGAGAAAAAAAAGAAAAAAAAAGGAAATTGAAAACTCCATCTGGGTTCTTCGAACCTGTGACCCCGAGCAAAATGGAGCATCAAGCCCCTTGAAACCCGACGCCTATGGCGTCCAACCCAAAAAACCCAACTCGCCTGCAGCGAGACCACGACCTTGCCGTGCAATTTTCTAACTAAATCAGACATGGTGTCATGATTTTTGATCCAATATCATTGAAATTCCTAAAGAATTTCATCGAATTTGGGTGAAATTCCAGTTTGAATTTCATAGGTTTCATTTTCCCCCGATGTCGAGGTACTCCCTTCGTCCCTTAGAATTTGCTCGTTGTTGAACCCATGACCATGCACCTAGAAATTTCTTCCAAAACACTACCGCCTATAGCGGCGGTGCCGACTTTTGTCCTTGGTGACAGCACCCAACTTCGGCTGGGGTGTTCTTGGCTGAAACCCTAAGCCCAATACTTGGGCTGACCTTCTCGGCTTACAGAGAAAAAAAATGTTTTTTTTTCCCTAAAACAGGCTTGCATGATGCGGCCTAATACCCGGGCTTAGCCCAACCTCAGCCCGTACGGCTATGGTGTCCCAGCATTGTGTGCCGCACTGGATCCTAGCTCTGCTGGAGTATTTGTGTTTCCCCGTGTCGAGTCACACACGATCAGCCTCAATCTGGGCCTTTCTTTGGGCCCGGCTCCCTTGTAGCCGGTTTGCTGCTATGGGCCTACAACCCACTATCAGTTTTTGGGCTTGATCCACTCGAGCCTATCCTAGCCCATTCATAGGCCTGGACCGCACGACTCCTATTTACACAGCCCACCCGTGGGCTTTGGTCCAAGTTTTTGGGCCCCGAGTTTAATTGCCTAATTATTTTTAGGCCCAATTGGTTTTATATTTTTTTACCCACACTTTAAATTTGGCCCGAAGTCCAAATAATTAATCCCATTATAATTATAGACTTGAAGATCTATTTGCATATTTTCTTGTTGCATATTTTTGTATATATTGCGTTTGTTTGCAGGTATTATGAACTTGAAGCTCATACTTCCGAACCTGAAGCTTCGGAAAAGTGCCTTAGAAACCTGAAGTTTCTTAACCCACAACACTCATGTTGAGACCCGAAGTCATCTATGCTTAAATTCGTTTAAACCAAACCATGTCTTAGAATCTAAATGTTCTAATGTTGATGTTTAAAGACATTTTATTTCC